GCATGGGTGCACCCATGGTAGCACCCATGTGGTGGCACCCTATCCCTAGCATGGTCCAATATATTTAAAGTAAATCCTCAAAACATTTACTTTCAAATTTATAAAAGCGTCTAGTTAGGAAGTGCGGTTTTGAGAAAGTAGTATAAAGTTTAACATCGTTTTAATAGCCGTTAGTCGGAGAGACTGAGCTGAGCATTATTCCCAATTAACGAGTGCTATCTCCGAAATTAGTGAATTTTGGAGACTAATTGGGAGAAACATATAGTTATTTAGTTCATTTTGAGAATTTACTCTAATTTTTATTTCAATCGAAATTACCTATTGCCCTAAAAAAAATTGAAATTACCTATTTTTCCTTTATCAATTACTCCCTCCGTCCCAAATTATTTGCAACGTTTGCTTTTTCAGCGTTGCGGGAACTTTTGTTTATTTCTACGTTTTCATTAGTTATTTGATAAAATAAAATATTCTTGACACCTCTTATTTCGAAGAACTTTTCATGTAGTTTTTTGATATGTAAATTTTATTTTTTATTTCTATAACAATATGTAAATAAAATGAATTGAAAAAACATGATATTTTGCCTCGGGAATACAAGTGTGACAAATATTTAGGGACGGAGGAAGTATTAACTTAGCAATCCCATCGAATCTAATCATTATTAATATATAAAGGATGTTGCTAAATCGAGTTCTCTTTTTACAATATCTACTCCATTTGTGACGAATGTCCAATTTTATCCCTAAGTTAGCCCAGCCCACATATTGTTTTTCCTTATTTTTACACTTTTAGGATAAACTTGCTTTTTGACAAATATTGTTTTTCCGTCCCCTGTATTTGTCCACTTTTATTTTTGCACACCATCCAATGCACTTCTTTAATTCATTTTATCTTGTAATTTGTATATTAAAAAATTATAAAAATTATATATTAATAATCTATATGTTAAGACAAATCAAACAAGATCACACATGACTATATTTAGGCTTACACATTGAGAGAATTTGATGAGTCAAAGTGCTTAGATGAACAGTTCCAAAAGTCAAATGTGGACAAATACAGGGGGACGGAGGGAGTATTTCTCACTTTAAAAAGGCAAAAAAAATAATACCCAAATTTAGCTAAGGATGACAAATCTAACTTGAATGATGTGATAGGTAGGTTAAAAATTAATAGAAGTAAAAATGATGACTTTTTAATAAATATAAGAAAAGTTTTTTTGAGACGAATGTAAAAAGAAAAAAAAGAGAAAAGTGTAACAAAAATCCTCAAACACGAGTCTCCAAAAACACATTACAATTATAACCCCAAAAGTCTTCAAAAATAACGTGTAACAAAAATCCTCAAGTAATGGAGCAATTAATTAAAATAGTAAATTCATGCAGATGATGAAGAAGACATCTTCTTCTTGACCAAGTAGCTAAAGGGAGGGTCACAAAACGTGCCATTGACGAGCTTATCCGCCACGGCTCTATACATGGCTTCCGTGAGGTGCCCGCCGTCCCAGTTGATGTACCTCGACGGGTCCGGGCAGGACGACGCCGCTGCCACCGCCGGCGAGCCGCAGGTGTTGAAGAGGTCGAAGTTCAGCTCGCCGCCGCCAGAGCCGCAGCACGCCTTGAAGGGCTCGGCGATGCCGTAGCTCTGGCGGTGGGTGAGGATGGCCCCGTAGGCGCCGTAGTAGTCGGCGTAGGCGAGGGTCGCGTTGGGGTAGTGCTTGGAGAGGCCGTCGAGGAGGGACCGGAGGGCGGCGTTGTGGGCGGCGCTCTGGTGGTTTACGGTGGCCACGCACCCTGTGCCGTCCCGGTTCCCCGGGTCTGCAAGGTAGAGGTTGAAGGAGGTGCAGCCTAGCATTGGAAGGCCTTGGACTACAACATACTTTGCGCCTTTGTTTAGCAATGCCTGATGAGATTAATGAGGAGAAACAAAAAAGTAAAGGCGTTAAAATGTTATTTAAGGAATAAAACAGTTTAAGTGGTACTACCTCCGTCCCGCTATATTCGTCCACTTTTGACTTTTGGAACTGTTCATCTAAGCACTTTGACTCATCAAATTTCTCAATGTGTAAGCCTAAATATAGTCATGTGTGATCTTATTTGATTTGTCTTAACATATACTCCCTCCGTCCTAAAACTTTCTTCCCAGATCACTATTCCAACTTCACGGGAATTTATATTTATTTGTGTTTTTTCATGACCTATATGATAAAATAAAATATTCTTGTCACCACTTGTTTTGTTGAACTTTTGATGTAGTTTTTAAATATGTATGTTTTATTTTTTATTTCTATACCAATATTTAAATAAAATAGATTGAGAAAACTTGGGATTTTTCTTCGTTTTGCGAACCGGGAAGAAAGTTTTAGGACGAAGGGAGTAGATTATTAATATATAATTTCTACTGAGTATAATTTTTTAATATACAAATTACAAGATAAAATGGATTAAAGAAGTGTATTGGATGGTGTGTAAAAAAAATTGGACAAATACTCTAGGATGGAGGGTGTATTTATTACAAATCTTTCAAAATTAAGAGAATCACTTTGATTTTTTTTGGTTGAATTATTACACATGTTGTCCATTAGTGAATAGTAAGTACTCCACATGTCCTTTTGACTTTTTACACTTCTTATAGTTAAAGTTGATAAATTTTACTCCCTCCGTTCTAAAATTAACTTTTCATTTGACTTTTCACAGTCTCTAATGCGGTACTTTTACCATTAATATCTCCATTTTTATATGAATATATATTATCAAAATAATATATTACAAAACTATGTTTCAAAATGAATCTATTGATACTAAATTTATATGAAAATTTAATATATTTTTTCCGTCATATACAGTCAAAGTTTAAAAACTTTGACAGTAAAAGTCAAAATGGGATATTAATTTTAGGACGGGGGAGTAATTATTAATTAAATAAAATTGATGTGAAATATTACTATAAAAATAAATTTATTATATTTATTTTTTAAAATATTACTTTATTTACTTAATATATCATATAAATTTTATTTAATTATAAATCTAAAATCAAAAAGTCTAAACTAGATATACCTGCAGGGACATAGGTAGTACTCCCTCCGTCCCGCTATATTCGTCCACTTTTGACTTTTGGAACTGTTCATCTAAGCACTTTGACTCATCAAATTCTCTCAATGTGTAAGCCTAAATATAGTCATGCGTGATCTTATTTGATTTGTCTTAACATATAGATTATTAATATATAACTTCTATATTTTTTTAATATACAAATTACAAGATAAAATGGATTAAAGAACTGTATTGGATGGTGTGCAAAAATGAAAGTGGACAAATATAGTGGGACGGAGGAAGTATTATTTTATATAAGTAGAAATGTAAAATGTTAGTAAAAAATTTGATATATTAAAACTAAATCTTCAAATTAAAACAATTGAAAAGTAGAATATTCTTTTCGTCCCAAAAACTCTTTCCCTTTTTTGTCTAGGAAATCCTTCCATTTTTTATTCAAATTACTTGTACTCCTATTAAATCTCAACATATCTATCACATCATAATTATTTACTAATAATCTAACCGTCACATCTTACTTATACCAATCCCATCAAGATTTTTTTAAAAGTTAAAACAAAAATATCTCTCCTTTAAATTTTCTAAAAGTTAAAATGTGTTTTTTTTGTGAGACGGAAGAGGTATATATATTTTTCACAATTTGTTTTATTCTATAAATTTTAACAAAAAAGTCAAAATCTAAAAAATTTACCCCAAGAATTACTCCATAGTTCTCTTTTAAATTTCAATTCTTCAATTTAGTTTTTTTAAATTTCGTATCAAACCAAATAGAGACTACTCTTTCTGGCCCTGAATGTTTGTCCATTTTTTTGGTAAAAATTGATAATTTTGACCTCAAATTAAATAAGAATAATATTAAATATTGATACAAAAAAAGTTTTATTACCTTTATTATATTGAAAATTTTTAAAATATTATTTTATTTTATTAATATACAATATAAATTTTATTTAATTATAGATCATAGGTTGAATATGATTGACCAAAAAAGGTCAAAATTATACTCCGTACAAATATTCAGATAGGGAGGTAATATTAAATTGGGATGAGCATTACATAAAGCTAGGGTTTTGTCCAAGAATGAGCTAATGTATGACCCTTCAATTATTCGATCGAGTGAGTTATGACCATATTCATTACTCCTATATTTATTTCCCATTTTTGTATGATTAAGATTTTATTAAATACATATATACTGTCCCAACTGCCAACACAACTTAATCTAATGGCACATGTATAGTACCACAAACACCATGTACTTGGTAAAAACACATTTAATGTGCATATTGTGCGAATCCAAAGTCTCATCTATCAAACAAATACTCTATCCCTCTCGAAATATTCTTCATATTTAATTTTTCTTGATCAAAGTTTATAAATTTTTACTCCGATTTATAAAAATTATATGGAGTATATCAAATTATGATATAAATTTAATATCGATATATTCTTAACAAAACATAGTTTTGAAATATCAAATTTTCATAAAACATCTCTATCTATAAATATAGATATTATTAATCAAAATACAATATTGAAGACCGTGAAAAGTCATATAGGAATAACATTTCTGGACGGAAGGAGTATATCATATGAATGGAGAGGAATTGATGATCAAAATCTATATACTCCGTAATTTATATCAAAAAGTTAAACTGGTTGAATATATATATATATATGAAAAAAATCTAGGGCCAAACAAATGGGGATTGGACGGTCAAGGAATCAACTTGTCCAAAAATGTATTTTATATTCTAATACGCCACCATGATATAGAATTTAGGATGAGAAAGATTATTGGACTGGGTCATAAGACTACATTTAAGTTGAAGCACATTAAAAAATTGAACCAAATTGATTATTTAGTTCAACTCAAGAGCTAATAGGACTGCGCGTGCCCTCACCATAACCCTGCATTAGTATGATACTGTCCGCTCTGGGTAAAGCCCTCACGGATTTGTTTTTGGGCACCTCCCAAAAGGACTCATACTAATTAGGTTGGGTGAATTTATATATTTTGATTCATTTACTCCTACACATCAGGTGTGGGACTTGGAGGACCCAACTAGAGCTTATATACCGATTTGGTTTTCACTTCAAATTCCGATATGAGATACTCTTTAACACTCTTCCTCATGTAGACAATCGGATCATTTTGAATCTAACCGGTTGACCACTTGCAAATTGACTCTCATCCTAAGAAATGAAAAGATTAGAAGTGCCAACACCTAAACGACCACGAATCGAGGAGCAAATTAACACTATATATTCGTGCCATTTCACGCTGTCTTTCAAAAAAGAATAATGAGTGCACTCCATGCCCCGAGACCCTACCCTAATTTTCCCAGTGCTCTCATTTTTTAGATCGACCACTGAACACACCGAGGCGAATGTAGTATCAAATTATCGATAATAAATGTATTTCGTTAAAGACCGTGAAAAATCAACGAAAATAAGACATGTTTTTTTTATAGTACCCACCTGCAGGAAGGAAGAGATGCTAGAGATGGAGAGGCGTTGAATGGTATGGCTTGTGACCGAAGAACCAAAGATGTAAGAGTAGTCATTAACCCCAATTGGGCCCAGCCAAAACAGGGAGTCCTCAAAGACTGCCCTACAAAACTCCCCATTATTATTAGGGGTGTCTTTATCTTTAGGACACCCAAGGGTCTTCAAGTGCCTGTTGAACCATCCCCACTGCGTCCCAAGTGACTGTGGTGTGATGTTTAGTGTTATATTGTTCCTCACGTAGAACCTGTAATTTAAAAATTAAAAAGAACAAAAAAACACACTTTAAAGATTTTTATGTTCAATTTTACAAGGTCAACCACTTTATTATATTCTAAACTTTAAAGAGTCCGTGGGTGTTGCACAGTTGGCAAGGTAAGGGGTGTCAAGAGGGTACAACCCAAGTTCGATTTCTGGCAACTGCGCTCGGAGGCAACTATGCTAAACATAGGGCCCCTGCAAGTACCACATGCAGGCTCTACTCTTTACCACCAATCTGTGATGAAAGTTCAATATACCTTCTCTCAGTGACCGTCTGACCGGTCTAAGAGGACCCTCGAGATGGGGCTCATCTTTTATTTCTTCTAAACTTTAAAGAAGTTGACTAAGAATATATCATGCTTTTTTATCCTCAAATACACTAAAATTTAATAACATATGTTATCCTTGACATTTTCTCTCCAATCCCTAATCTCGTGAGATTCAACTAGATTGTTGCATGTTAGTTATACCGACATTCATAGATAGTCATTAGACTCATTACCTATATATTCATATTAGTGTAATACGGAGTACTTCTTATGTCCCTAAGAGATTACTACAATTTGATTTTTTTGGTCAAATTGTGACTACAAATTATTGAAAATCTATATTTACTTATAATGTAAATTTAGTAAATTTGGGTTTATTTTAAAATATAGTTTTGAAATATCAACTTTTTTGTAATATTTAATTATTTTAAATTATATTTAATGCATGGTCAAAGGCTGCCTAGTTTGACCAAAAAAGTCAAACTATGACAATCTTTTAACGACAGAGGGAGTACAAAGTATTAACAGATTTTAATACTCCATCTTTTTCACAAACTTACTTTCACTTTAAACTCTCTCCAAAAACAAGCATTATACTTCTACACCAAAGAGTGTACCACATTTTGTACACCATGTTATATACTCCCTCCATCTCATCACAAAAGTCTTCTTGTTCTTACCTTTTTTTCAAAATTATTTGATTCTTTTTTATTACAAATTAAACATAATCTAAATAAAATATTTGATATATCCATCGAAACTATATGTATCTTAAAATGAATCTAATTATTAAAAATTTAAAAAAAAAAGTATCACTATTTAACAAAAGAAAAAGGGTAATTTACCTAAATAAGACTAAAACATAATCACTTTCTCAATATAGGACTATATGCTTTTATTTTCCAATGTAGGACCATTGGTTATTATCTATTAGTCATTATTCATCTAAATGACCAGCATCACTTGGACATTATTCTTCTCACGAGTCATTATTAAGTCTTAATTTAGGAATAAAAAAGTTTAAATCCTATATTGGAAAATGACTTACTCTCTCCGTTCTCAAAAACACTTCCTCTTTCATTTTTTTCACTTCCAACAAAACACTTCCACTTTTTATTAAAAAACCACTTTTACCCTTACTTTTTGATACCCTACCTATAATATCATACTCCCTCCGTTCCACAAAACTCTTTCCCTCCGTTCCACAAAAAATCACTTTTACTCTTACTTTTTCATATCCTACCTATCACATCCTACTGTTTCACTAATAACCAAACTATCACATTTTACTTTTACCCATCACATCAGGGGCAAAATTGGAAAGTCAACTAAAATTACACTTTCTTTATTTTTGCCAAAAGTCAAAAGTGGAAGGATTTAAAGGAACGGAGGGAGTACTTTTTCTCTAATAATCTATCTATCACAACTTATTTTTACCCATCACATCAGGAGCAAAATTGAAAATCAACTATAATTTAACACTTCTTAATTTTGGCTTCAAGTCAAAATAGAAACCTTTCTTGCAAACGCAGGGAGTATGTTTTAGTTTCATTCCGTACAAATTTCACAAAGAAAAAAGTCAAAGCATGAACCTTTTTATAGGACAGAGTTAATAAGACAGTGTTGGAAGATATGCATTTAAGTTGTATCAGAGTTATTTAATTAATTAACCTGTGGTTTATGGCAGTGCAGCCGGCAACGGCAAAGTTGACGCCGTGGGACCTGTCGGCGGCGGAGTCCAGATACGGCGGCAGCAGCGGGAGGGAGAGAGCTCCGGCGACGAAGTCGATGACGATGCGACCGTCGGAGTAGCGGTTGGTGGGGCGGTGGAAGAACGTGCGGCCGTACGGCGGATTCGAGACGTGGGTGAAGAAGATGGGGCCGGTGGTGGAGTTTGTGTTGCCGGTGTCTGTGATGGAGTCGCCAAATGCGTAGAGCCTCTTGAAGGGCTTTGGGGCAGCTGATAGGGCAGCTGAGGGTTGTTTAGGGCAATAGAGAATGAGGATTTGTAGGGTCAGTGCCCTAAAAATGGTGGTTTGGGTTTTGGAAGCTTTTGAGCTAAGAGCCATGATATATGGGTAATATGGGAAATATGGAAAGTTTTGGCAAATGAGGGAATGTGCATGCATGTGCATATATAGTGACCATATGGATGGAAATTAAATTCTTCCTCCCTCCTAATTTTTATTACTCCCTCCATCCTAAAACTTTCTTCCCAGAGCACTATTCCAAATTCACGGGAATTTATTTTTATTTGTGTTTTTTCATGGCCTATATGATAAAATAAAATATTCTTGTCACCACTTGTTTTGTTGCACTTTTGATGTAGTTTTTAAATATGTATGTTTTATTTTTTATTTCTATACCAATATTTAAATAAAATAGTTTGAAAAAACTTGGGATTTTTTTTCATTTTGCGCAACGGGAAGAAAGATATAGGACGGAGGGAGTACAATTTTTTTCTCTTTCTCTTTCGATAACTTTTACTTCCTCCGTCCCTAAATAAACTCCCCTTTTTGACCTTTTGAGGATTTAAAGAAGGGATATTTTTGTGTTGAATTTCCAAAAATACCCTTGATGTGATGTGTAAAAATAAGATGTGATATATAGACTATTAGTAAAAAGGTATGATGTGATAGGTAGGTTATGCAAAAGTAAGGGGTAAAAGAGGTTTTTTAAGGGAAAAGAGAAGTTTATTTGGGGACAAAGAAAAAACGAAAGAGAAAGTTTATTTAGGGACGGAGGAAGTATTTATTTGTGTGTTTTTATTGATTATTTAAGAAAATAAAATAGTCTTGTCATTTTTTGTTTTGTAGAACTTTTGACATAGTTTTTTAATATATACTCCCTCTGTCCTAAAATTATCTTCCCGTTCATTATTCACAAGGTCTAACTTTATTCTCTTTTTTGACTCCAAAGTCAAAATCAACTTATAGGGTGCAATTGAAGGGGGTGGGGGGGGGGGGGTGTTCG